TCTCTCTCTCTCTCTCTCTCTCTCTCTCTCTCTCTCTCTCTCTCTCTCTCTCTCTCTCTCTCTCTCTCTCTCTCTCTCTCTTAAGTGATTGCCAAAAAAAATTGAATTCTTCTTAATTTTGATTTCATTAGTTTTAATATCATGTCTCTTATGCAGAGTGAACAAAAAGGCTTCATTGGGTTGACAATTTTTTGCTATTGGTACACTCCAGTGACAAACTCAACAGCAGATATAAAAGCAAGACAAAGAGTCCTTGATTTTCATATTGGGTGGTATATATCAAACTCTGCATTTTATTTCAGCAATAAGAGGAAGACGGTTCCTCTTGCTTACTCTCTCATTCTAAGATTTTTAAATGCCAGGTTTCTCAACCCCCTGTTCTTTGGGGATTACCCTGATATCATGAAGAAAATTGCTGGCTCAAGATTGCCAACTTTTACTGAGGAAGGATCTGAAATAGTTAAGGGATCGTTCGATTTTATTGGAGTGAACCACTATGCATCTCTGTTTGTATTAGATGATTCAAACCGTACAAAAACAGATCAAAGAGATTATCAATTAGACATGTTTGCTAAGTTTATGGGTATGGTTCTCATGGAAGGCTTGGGCTTTATCTTAATAGCTGCTAAAACAAATTTCATGGTATTGATAATTGCATCTACTTTTACAGTGTCTAAGGATGGTGAGCCCACAACTCAGGTAAGACTTAACAAAGGAAGGCTGAAAAGCTCCAAATACTCGGCAGAAACACAAGAACCTTGTTTGGTTCTTTTACTGTTGTTCAATATATGTGGCATTATTTCAATTGTTTATACATAACATCCTATTATCTGGTTGTGTATCATCACATTCTTCCTCTCCATATTTCCGATGAAGTTCTTTTGAAGTTCATCATAATTATCTGCCTGTTGTTGTTAGCCGGCTATCGCATTTCCAGTTGTACCATGGGGAATACGAAGACTTCTTGAGTACATCAAACAAACTTATAAGAACCCCATGGTTTTTATCCATGAAAATGGCAAGTATCTCCCACTCAAGCAGTTGTCTTACACTCCATAGTTTGGGTCAATTGGCTTTGAAACCCTTCTTCTTAAACAGGTTATAGAATTCCATGTAATAATTCGACTCCTCTGTCCGAAGCATTGAATGACACTGCTAGAGTGACATACCTGGAAAACTACATTGAAGGCTTGCTTGATGCTGTGAGGTACTCTCTCTCTCTCTC